GATCAATCTCCTCCTAAGACCGAAAAAAAAGAACTGGATATTTCACACGATTTAAACGTATATGATCAATTAATATTAGCTAATGATATGTCACGAATTAACAAAGAATTTGAATTGATAGGTAGCATTGGTTCGGGCGCCTTTGGTAGTGTTATAAAAGTAATAATGGGATTGATTCAAATACCTTTGCCTTCTATCGATTTGTTTTATTTCAGGTGAGAAATAAGTTGGATGGGTGTGACTATGCCATTAAGCGAATAAAGCTAAATACAAAAAATGAGGTATTAACAAAGAAAATAATAAGGGAAGTGAAATTGCTCTCTAGATTGAATCATGAAAATGTAGTTCGATACTATAACTCGTGGATTGAAAAAGCTACAATCAAGAAAGAAAATAATACTGGTAGTGAATCTCTGATGGAAAAAACGAGACCAGGACCAGAGAGAAAGGATAAGGTTGGTGCCTTTTTATGGAAAGTTGATATGAATTAATATCCAATTTATTTATGACACATTCATATTGACATAATGACAGCTTCTGTAACACTAGTCATTCCTAAATAGTTTAAAAAAATGTTTGCATTGAAAAAAATATAAATCACAGTGCTGTTGTTAAAAGAAAATCATATCATATGAATGTTAGTGTCACATTTGTCATTCAAGTTCAGTCCAAGTTTTCAATTTCAAATAGACCTGTGTTTACTAATTTGAATGGATTCCGCCTGTAATGATAAACTGAAACAGTCATATATCTTGTGTTTCGTCGACGTACGGGTGTTAGTCGATCGTTTACTGAACCAGTGGTCGTAGATTTATTCACCACATTGCGAATACTCCTCTCGGTAGGATGATTATGGTGACCGTGAAATGGGCGAAGCGCAAAGTACGTTGTCTGAAGAGAACACTCATTTTGATAAAACAATTTTATTTATTTGCACGTGTTGTTAATGCAAGGCGAAGAGCAGGCGTCTGTCATTGAGTTCGGTGACGTTGCGTTATGATAAATTAGCATTTCTGTTATGTACGCATTCTCGCTGATGATATCTTTATTATTTGGCGTTCCTGTTCGTTCCAATACCTTTCGTGTTTCATTTTTGAATTTTAACTTTTCTCTGATGTTTCCGTTCTATCATTCAAAATTTTGTTAGTTTGGTTTTTTGGCGAAATGGTATTATGTTTTTAAAGCAATGATATTGTTTATTGTTTCTTTCACCTTCTTTTATGATGATGTGCTATATGAATTTGTAATTTATGACTATATATTTTCTGATGGAATACGTTATGAAGTTGTAACATTAAGATAATTTCAGTTTCTGTCTTGTAACTTTATGATTAAGAGATTTTCTTATTTTGTTTTGTTTCTGTACAGTGTATTTCTTCAATAAGCAAATTCTATGTTGTCAATTATGACAATATATGTGTCCCCTTGAAGTTCTATACAGTGCTTTTCTACACAAATGGATTCAATATAATTGGGATTACTTTCTTGAATGAAACACTCGAATATGGTGAATTTTTTTTTGAATACTTTGATTTTTTTTTGGGTATTTTCAAGATGTATTATCTATACTTTTTTAATGTTACATAAAATTTGGAAGAAAGATTTTGATAAAGGTTTGTCATTTTTTCTAACCCTATAGAACACTGGTCCTTTATTCTATTGTTATCTTATTTGATGTGCTTCTCACCGCCAGAATTCCTCCTTTGTGTGGTCTTTTGAGAGTTCACAGAAAAAATCTTTGTGTGGGAAAGAGATATTTGGCAACCTTTTTCATATGTACATCATTTGTCTTTAATTCCCTTGTGATTAATTCAGCTTTCAAATCATCAACTCTCAATCATTTCCTTTTTTTTTAGAAAAAGTAAGGAGAGTTCTATGGATAATGATTTTTTGTGCCAACATAAGAAAACTGAGCTTATCAAGTTTTCCACTCGAAGTGTACAAAGAGGATGCTGCATAAGTAAAATAGTCTTCGAAAAAATACATATTCAATTGAATAATCACTTTCATTTTAGAACACTCACCTGATCACTGCAAATTCCAAGGAATAGATATGGAGTCGGGACAAGTGCTATTTGTAAGTGCATGGATTTTCCAGAATATAAAGGATATTCAACAAGTGAAGAAACAAATAAATAGTATCGAGCAAGAATTGAATTATTTGACAACACTGAAACACCCGAATTTGACTTGTTACTTTGGTATTAAACATCAAGTTTTTAAAAATAGCGTCACTGTGTATTTGTTAGAAGAATTTGTTTCTGGTAGTGTATTCAAATTGATAACAAACTTTTTTCATGATTTGTTTCAATTTCTCAGGTTTAAACTTTTCATCGCTTTTTTTATGTCGAGATAGTAAAGGTGAGGTAAATTTTCTAAAGCACATAGCACGAGGAGTCGTTACCGCATTGGATTATCTTCACAGAAATAAGGTTGTTCATAAGGATATCAAAGAGACATCTGTATATCTTTCTGACAATGGTGAGAGATATAACTGAAACTATCATTTTGTATTTTCTTGTTGGTGCTTTCAAAGTTTTGATGACAGAAATGGTGGGAATTTTCAAGGTCATTGTACGCCTCCACTTGTGTCAACAAACTTTTAGAAACAGTGACCACGTTTACACGGCATCTTGAAGAAGGATTTCTAACTGATGTTACTAAAAACAACATTACCAACTGTATAATTTTTATTTTTCATTCTTTGAAATCAAACTGGTCTAATGAAAGATGAGGTTAGCATTATAAAAGTGGATTTGTTGAGTTGCCTACCCCTATCATACAGTGTCATCCCCAAAGTATGCACCATATAGGAAACTTATTCATTAAGGATTTTTCAACAAAATGTTATTCTTGATGAAAGTTTGTGCATCCCCTAAAACTAAACATGCACCAACAAAATACAGTAAGTCACACGTAATATACGAGGAGCCTTCAAATACAGTAGAATCCGGATATAACGACCTTCAAGGGACTGGATATACTATGTCGTACTAACCGGACGACACACAAAAAGGATTAATTTTGTGGTAGTAAAGTGTACATTAGTTCATTAGTCTTTCATTTAGCTGTTCTGGTTGCTGATCGATAGATGAATAAAACGTTTTATAGGAATCACATATGCTTTATTTTAATAGTTCTCAAATATCCTAATGTACAAACATATGTACTTACATTATGTACTGTAATACAAAGAGATAAAATACACACGCAATGCACGAAAAAACTGTGTTACTGAATTAGAAAGTCTGTTATTTGAGTTTGTTTTTGACAAACTTTTGTTCGGTAGTTAGAATTTCGTACAGCATTATTAATTCGCGACATCATTGTTTTCATAACATCATCATGTAAGTTAGTCTGAACAAAGACATTGAGCGTTTCCGCAGCCTTCAGAGCTTCAAACATACTCAAGGCTGGATAAATCTCCTCTGGTGCGTCATCATCACCTTCATTATCTTTGCTATTCGCGTCGATGGCAGTTATATTTTCCACAATGTTTTCATCAGACGGTTCCTCACAAGTGGCGACAGCATCATCGACACAAGCATATTGTTCAAAGTCCTCGTTTGTTATGGGTAACTGATGCATATCAATAGCCCTCGTCCAAATGCTCAGCGGCACGTCGTCTTCTTTGTTGAAATCATCTGGGTTTGAAGTTAGGCTACATTCTATATTGTTTCGCAATGCCTTATCCAACTGCTCATGAGTAGAAGTCCTTACACGTTTGCATTCCAAAAGAATGGCATTGAACAGCGACTCGATCTCATCTTTATTCTTTTTAATTGTGGATATTGTAGAATGGGATACGCTAATCTCCTTTGCGAGGGCTGATTCACCGGCTTCTAATCGGTGTTATATTGCACTTTTTTCTTCAATTGTAAAACACTTTCGCTTCACAAAATTCATTTTGTCGAACTTTATGAACTTACAACAAGTGACAAAGACTTCATATTGGAACCTCTGGCCCCCCCCCATGCCCTCTTTCGGGTTGAGTACCCTGAGTTGAAATTTTCCTCACACGGTTAATGTGTGCAGAACATCCCATCTCATCCATCCACACGCGGTCCTCAACTTACTGATGGGCACTTCAGTAACATTGACGTCTGACCTTCTTTGGTCGAAAGTCAGCCTCTAGGTGCTTTTACTTTCTGATCTGTTGAATTGAGGAATGTAACGAACTTCAAGGAACCTCTGGCGTAAAATCAATCTATTAATATCTGTTGGTAGTACCTGTCAATAGAGGTACCTAAGAATACTACCGTTAGTAGTACTTATCAATAGAGGCACCTCAGAAGAGGGAGTGCGCCGAGGTATTGGTGCGCAGATTGTGTAAACAAAACATTGCGCGACGTTTTAATCGGATGCATTATCATGAAAAACGGTCGCTATAAGCGGTTGGTCGCTTAAAACGGAGTCCCACTAAACGGTATATTTTCCCAATAACTAAGTATGAAACTAAACTTGAGTAAACATTATCGTCGCTGTAAACGGATAGTCGTTATAAGCGGAGTCGTTATATATGAATTCTACTGTATTTGATTTTGGACAAGAGTAAAGTACTCTTATTTTGAAAAATCTCGGGAAATGTTATTTAGAAAGAAAAGTTGTTCAGCATTAAAAAATACATCTAGATTTCAAGTCATTCAATTTTTTGCTGAAATGATAAAGAGACAGCATCCTGTATACCTATTTTATTTTGACGTTTTGTGATTTGATATTATTGAATATTAAGTTCTTGTTACAATACAGTATAATTTTGATAAATAAGAGTACTTTACTCTTGTCTCAAAATCAAATATTTGAAGGCTCCTCGTATATTAAGAGTGATTTACTATATTTTGTTGGTGCATGTTTAGTTTTAGGAGATGCACAAACTTTTATCAAGAATAACTTTTTGGCAAAAAACCCTTAATAAATAAGTTTCCCATATGGTGCATACTTTGGGGATGACACTGTATATCATTAGTTACATCAAAATTTCTCATATTGTCAAAAAGTTTATTTGTTTTCAAAATAGCTAATTCCTAAACGAAACTGAAAGATGAGAACTTCATGCCTGCTTAACTTGAAAAAAAAAATTGTAGACAGTGGAAATGAATAAAAAATTATGAGTGCTGAGACCTTTTTATTAATTTTCCCAAGCAATGTATTGTAAAGAAGTTTTTGTTTTTATGAAAAATGAGAGGTGGTGTCAAATTCACAAGCATTCAGTTTATGGTGTTATGTTATCAAATGGTAATTAGGACGGTTTTTTAAAGGAAGATGTGTAGGGAAAGAAATGTTTTTTTTTGGCAATTTCTTCATCTTGTTTAGATTCGCTTGATCTGTCCAAATTCTTTCCAAAGAGTGGATGTTACAACTTGGATTGTTATAACAATTGAGATTATATGCTCGTGTAAACGTGATCATTTAATCAAAGCCTCTCTAAAGTAGGTTGTTTAATTGTTACAATCGTCATTCAGTTTTGAAGGCCGTCGTGGTTTGGAACTGTATCCAAAAGTTTCGCCAGCACAAGTGGCTGGCTTCTTCAGAGGTTTATTCATCTTGATGGTTAACCGATGACTAGTGATTTCTAGTTCGTAAGTTGTATTTGTGTTCACTCAGGTAGCTCGCCTTTCTTGTTGATCTCGGTTACACTGTATCCATTCGATCTTGAAGCCACTTGAAGATGCTCCAATTCTTCTTGTAGGTGTTCCGGTTCACATATTCTACGGGCACGTTCTCTCAGTGTGTTGATAATTCCCTGCTTGGATGATGGTTTGAAAGTGCATGCAGATATCTGTCCGTATGTGTCGGTTTTCGATACACTTTATGTGTCAGTCTTGTGCCACGCCTTTCTAGATGTACTCGTCGATGAATAAACCTCTGAAGAAGCCAGCCACTCGTGCTGTCGAAACTTTAGGATACAGTTCCAAACCACGACGGCCTTCAAACCCGGATGAAGATTGTAACAATGAAAATCTCGGCCGCGAAAGCCTTAACCAATTTATAGGTTGTTTATTGTTTTTCAGGTGTTGTAAAAGTTGCACATTGCAGTATTTATAAGAGAATATCTGATTTGAATTCTCAAAGTCATAAAAATTATGGAAAAAAGACTGATATATTTAAGTTTGGTTTATTATTACTATCTGTTTTAAAAGGCTGTCCTGTATCTGAAGAAGACTTGGATCTGCCTAGTGGAATTGATTCAAAGTTGCAGGACTTTTTGTCAAGGTATGGTATTTTTAAAATAAATGTTTGTAATTAAGTGGTTTAGTGATTCAGTTATACTAAAGAATAAGGTAGCATATAAAATAATTTTATCATGAAGAGGTTTTTGACTTGCACAGAGGTTTTACAACTGATTTATATGGTATTACATCAAATTCCCCTTTTGAGTTTACACCTACTGAGAAAAACCTTTCGGTTGTGGCAATTACAAGGCTTACCTAATCTATAATTTTATTCTATAATTTAAATTAACAGTAAGTCAGGATTTTACTAGAAACATTCATGTGAATCAGACCTGCAGCCGTCTTTAAAAAAAAATTGAAGATGAATTGTACAAGGATAAATATGTAATACGTTTTTTCTACTTGAGAAGGGCCTTTGAAACAAGTTACAGGAAAATATTGTTAACGAAGCCAAGGGGGTACAGATCTGTAAATGTTTGAGATTCGAATAATATGTCTAGATGAAGGCAAAGAGTTGAGTCAAAAATATTTCCTCTAACGAATTATTTAATGAAGCCCGAGTCCCATTTGCTTGTTCTAATGGAAATATCAATATTGTTGTTCATAAGATGAGTACGATTTTTGATAGGTAATAAAATTATACTGAATATTTTCAAAACAAAAGCAGTGACCATCACAACAAATTACAAATTATACTTGATGGAACTTGATATTGGCAATGAGAGAAGTGAAATTACTGATACTGATAATGGATGAATGAATGAAATATCTGAGTTTTCATTTAGATAATTGTTTATCATTCAGTAATCGGTTTGAATATATTGTTATTAAGTGAAAAAAAATTTTGCATGTCGCTCAGTCTGAAATAACTGAAAAAGCAATAATACAGCCATACTTTGATCATTTCGCTTTATGTATTACATTTGAACCAAAGACAATCTTCAAATTTGAGAAATAAGAATAATTTTATGTTATCATAGGATGATATCTATATCATTTATTGTTAATTCTCTTCTATAGATATATTTGTCTTTCAAAAATTGTTGTACTTAACAATAACTTCATTTTGAAATAATGAAAAACCTGGCCCCCGCATATTTCCAAGATACAGTATTCTAGCAATTAAATATTATGAAAAAATAAATAGAGAACAACTTCTGAGCGATAAATTCAATTTAAGACCTTGGTTACTGTATGGTGGTCAGCAGATGGTGTGATTCATTATGACTTTCTGAGGAAATCGACGAAATGTACCGAAAAATGTGTCAGATCCTGCTCCACGACAACGCCCGTCCGCAGGTTTCTCAATCACCGTCCGAAAATTAAACAAATACTTCCCAGACCTCTCACCAACCAACTACTATATTTTCAAGCACGTCGATAACTTTCTTACCTGTAGAACCTTCGCCAATCAGGACCAGGCAAAAACGGCCTTCGTCAACTTCTTCGAATCCCGAGCACACAATTTTTATGCTCAAGGAATTAATCGACTTGTGTTACGTTTGCAAAAGTGCACTGATTCAAATGGCGCTTATTTCGATTGCTATGGATTCGATTACTATGGATTTTCATCAAGTAACGGCTGAGTCAATCAGAAAAATATTTCGATTAAATTGAATGAGTATTCACTGAGATATTACAGTTTAAAGTAGACTCATAAAAACGGACAAAACGTTTGAAACAACCTAATACAAATCTGGGCGCTCAATTATCTCACTTCACTTGGCATCCAGTCGATAATGCAGAAATGTTTTCTCAATTACATCTGCTCTGTGTTCGGTATTTACAAGAGCGAGGAAAAAATGTAATTGGTTAACTTCGAGATTAACTTCAGGATCAGACAGATTTTTTAGTTGTCATTTGTCATATAAAAGAAATTGGTTGGGTTTCACTTGTTTATCCAAAAATAAACTTTTGGTGAAATTTTTACTGTTGTCAGCACATACTATCTTCAGAAAAGAGTTTATGACACATTCTTATTGACATAATAACGCCTTCTCTATCACTAGTCATCCCGAAATAGTTCGAAAAAATGTTTGCACAAAAAAAAATGATAAATCATAGTGCTGTTAAAATAAAATCATATCATATTTAGGAGGTTTTGTGAAACAAATGATACCACGAATGTCAACTTGTCATTCAAATATGACCGAGCGTTTGTTAAATATTTTTCGCTCCATTGACTCTGTGATGTTTCTGGCTATTGGCCTCACCAGCGCGGTGCAGCCAAGTGTAAACATGGGCAACACTTGTTTGCCGAAATCAGGAAACAACACAAACGCACGGAGTCAACAACAGGAGCCAACCGCACATTTGTGGTTCCAGTTAGAAGACCAAGAATTCCCAGGCTACATCTAACATGACCACGTAGGCAGACATAGCTACCTGCGTGACATCCGGGTCCAGGATATAATTACAAATAGAGATTTTATCGAGTGTGCATGATACAAATAAAAAATGAAACCCTTCGTGGACACAACACTCCAAAAAGGGGGGCAAACCGCGAACACGTATTTCTATCTGTGACTATCCATTGCATCTGATATCCATTGCATCAAAAACGTACATAGTTCTAATGACAATATTGTGGTCAAAACCATACAAATCAATGATTACATTAAAACGTCCACTAATAAGTCCAAGGCAGTATGGAATCTGGTCAAATCTATTACTGGTTCGGACACTAAGACATCTATGTCAGTATCAGAAAACATTTCTCCAGATGAAACTAATAAAACACTAGTTCTCAATGAGGTAAATCAGTACTTTATTAATAACTGCACAGCTTTGAGTAGTGTAAATAAGAGCAATAAGTATTTAGAGCCTCCATCTTTTGATAAAAGCATATTCTTTCTCCCAACAGATTCAAAAGAAATTTATGATACTATTCTGAAGTTAAAAAATAGTAAAGCAGTAGGTGAAGATGAAATACCAACTAAATTACTGAAACATGTAGCATATGAGGTATGTGAACCTATTGCACACATAATCAACTTATCATTTTTGACAGGTATTTTTCCTGATAATCTTAAAATTGCGCATGTCAAAGCTATCTTCAAAAAGGGAAATAAACATGAAAGTGATATGCAGAATGGATTTAGAAGAAAGAAATCAACTACTCGACCTAACTATCAAGCTCCATGTAATAGAGTAATAGTAAAAAGGCTACAACAGCTGTCAATCTGGACTTGTCCAAGGCTTTTGACAGTGTTGACTATAGACTACTGATCACAAAACTGTCGTTCTACGGTATCAGAGGGCTGCCACTCGAACTAATTACGTCCTATTTGAAAAATAGACAGCAATGTGTTACTGAAAGGGATACTGATGGAAATCTAATGAAATCAGAAATGCTAGATATTGTAAGAGGTGTACCCCAGGGGTCAGTGTTGGGCCCACTACTATACATTCTTTACACTAACAATGTGCCTGAAGTTGTTGATGATAACATGGTTCAGTATGCTGATGACTGTTCTGTTGTGGTTTTCAGTTCAACCGATCACAACTACCTATAGGCAAATATCTTTTCCAAGCTCAAGATTCTGGAGGAGTACTTTACATCGCACAATCTCAAACTGAATAAAAACAAAACACAAATCATATCTTTTACCCAAAACGGCACAAATAATTCTTTTAGTGATAGTGTAACTATTTTAGAACCAGTGACTCAACTTTCCTTTCTTGGAATTATAATTAACTCAAAGCTGGACTGGAAGAGCCACATAGATAAAGTGGCAACACAAATGTCAAGGTACTGCTATGCCCTGAAAATAATTACACAAAATATATCCACTGAGGCTGCGATGTTGGCATATAATGGTTATATTCAGAGTCACTTCAGATATGGATTTATGTTCTGTGAAATGTCTGCACATACACAACAAATATTCATATTGCAAAAACGGTGTCTCAGAAAAATATTCAACCTTTCTCAGAGAGAAAGCTGTAAAGAAATATTTGTTGAGAAAAAAATATTAACACTAACAGGTCTCTATATTTATGAATCTGTGATATTTGTCAATGAAAATATATCTCTCTTTGCGACTCATGATAGGAACCATACTCACAACACACGAAACAAAAATAACCTTTTGAATATAAAGACACATTTGACCTATCTTTAAAATAATATACCTTTTTCAATCATTAATATTTATAACAAGGTACCTGAATCTCTCAGAACTTTGTCTTCTATGATCATGTAGAATAAATTGAAAACTTTGCATCTCTCCAAAGCGTATTATTCGCTGGAAGAATTCTTCAATGAAATTTAATCTGATATTGTTCACGTTGAATATTTCATGTCGTATCATTCTGCATTGTGATGTAGTTTAATCTCTTTTGAACCCTACATATAGATGTATATTTCATTCAAGTTCAGTCCAAGTTTTCAATTTCAAATAGACCTGTGTTTACTAATTTGAATGGATTCCGCCTGTAATGATAAACTGAAACAGTCATATGACATGGGTAATGTTTGTACAACTTGCCATAAATCATTCAGATTCAAAACCAGCCTAAAAATTCATAATGGAAAAATACACAAAACGTCAATGTCAAATTCACAAAATAGCACTTTGATGTCAAAGGATTCACTAATTGAAAATTCCAGTAATGACCCGAATAAAACAGGACAAGTTACATTATCATTGTTCAAAAGATTTGCTGCTTTAAAGAACTCCACTAATATTGTGAGGAGAATTCCCAGATCAGCTAGAACATGCGTAGCATCCGCCTTATCTGAAGTCATCGATGAATGTGTAATGCAGAAGTCCTTTTCCAGTTGGGAAAATCTACTTACCTTTACATTTAAGGTTCTCTCTATGGAATTTTCGAAAGAAAAGAGAAAAATATCTCTAACAACATTGATGAAGAGAAACATCAAAACGATGAATAACTAATCACCTGCTTCAAATAAAATATCTCAAAAATTATTTTAAATAAGTGCGATATTTCATCTGCTATCAAGATTCTTAGTTCTAATGATACTCTCGCTGATTATGACAATGATATTTTATCGAAACTCATTCTTAAACATTCACAAGCCGACTCAGTATCAAATTCGTCTGAACCTTCACTTGATCAAACAAGCAATTCAAAGTTTCAAGTTTCTGAACAACTTATTCTTGCAACAGTGAAAACGTTCCGCACTGGATCAGCTGGAGGACTAGACGGCTTTCGTCCAAGTCATATACAAGACCTTCTTAGTTATAGTGCTGGTAATTCTAGTCCCACACTACAGGTATACCGTATGTCGAGATGTACGCCCTGCACTTCTCCTGCAACTTAAACTATGTGTACCTTTCTCATCAACTATACTACCGCAAACACAAGTATGAGGCACACAAATAGATGAATGAACCCATCCTAAGTCCTACTGCTGTTCTGAAAGATTCGTCGTCTAATAGTGTTCCAAGAAATGTAATATGTAAAGCATTCAGCCAAGCACCCGATTCCTTGATCATTGCTGCTTTCAGACGAGCCTTATCATATACACTTGTAGATTTCAGAAGTTTATCAGTTATAATGTTCAGAAGAGGTCGGTCTCATGCACTTTGTATTTTCTTTTTATCTGTAGGAGGAGCAATATTAGTTGCGGCATGCCAAAGTGATTCACCTTTAGCATTAAAAACGTCTTTGATATTGATGAATATGGAAGGAAGTATAGAATCGATAAAATCAGAAACACTATTGACTGATGAAAGAAAAGCTGGTAAAGCTAAGGAAGAAGCCGATCGTAGCCCTAGTTCGGCAAGGTTTACAGAAAGCGTTGCTTGGAGCCATGAATCATTATTGAAATGATTGTTTGTAACATATTCCGTTGTGTTGCGAAGTAAATTATCAAATTCGTCAAGCTCTAACTGACTTGACCGAGTGGGGGAACATCTGAGGGCGTACATGAGTTTTGGAATCGCCAAACAATTTTTCAAAATAAAAAATGCAACGAGTTTTGGAAGTTCATTCAATCTGGTGGTCAGCAATTTGAGTGATTCCCGTTTTTCTCGAAGATGTTCTGAAAGTGAATCTTTAGAGAGAGGAGCACCCAGAAGACTCCATTTAGACTTTTCCAAAATTCTTATGCCAGGAGCCAATTTCAAAATGGATTCGGAAATATTATTCGGAGTT